TCTCAGAGTCCCCCTTCAAATTTTCTAGCTTTCTTATAATCAGTGTCAACCATGTGTGGTGCAAATCTTGCTAATTTAGTGAATTGAGCCTCATATTCTGCCATTGTTCTATTACCTTGCCTTAGACTTTCAAATTATAAAACCTTTCGATCACAGATACATTGCGGAAAGTATTTCTCGTAGAAGATTTTCAAAAACCAAGCCCAACTGATGCCTCTATTTTCATCTCTAGCCAACATCCACTATCTACAGGCCTCATCTTCTAGAGTAAAAGCAACAAGTATTACTTTCTATGCATCAGTGCACAAAAAAACTTCAAATAACTTCTCAATTTCAAGAACCCATGCCTCGACCTTCAATGGATCAACTCCACTCTAGAACTGTGATGGTTTGATCTTCTTATATTCTTTTGTAAGAGCAATAGTTTGATCATTCACCTGATTATCTTGAATTGGTGGTTGTATAGGTTCCTATAGTTGTGGTGGTGATGGTGGTGGTTGTCATTGTTATTGTTGTCTCAATGTTTTAACCACTCCTTCCACACATTCTTTTTAATTTGTCGAGTTGTGCCAAATATGATTTTGCCCCTTCATCCGCTCTTGTTCTCACCATGATCTATATGAACATGAATTATAACATATACAAAAGAGTATGCATGTATACACATTTATGAATGCATACCTTCACACACACACACACACACACACACACACACTTCTAAGATGAATGCAATTCCTAAGTCCATTCTAGAAATCCTAGTGGTTAGAGAGGTGACCGGCCAGTAATCATAGATTACCTACGGCTTATCTTCACAAATCACAAAATGTTTAATGTAATGGGGCTTGAAGTAGAAACATACAAAAAATAATCTAGTTCATTTAGTAATGCGTAAATGATGTAAAAGAAACATATAACCTTATATTACATGGAACTTATATAACTTACATTAGGTACAAAGTGCACACACTTTTACAAACATAAGTACATGACTTTACAAAAAATTTCCAAAAGACAAACATAAGTCTCAACTTGGAGGCACATCTTCAGAAGTCTAGCACAATCAATATCTACTAAATACTTTGTGTTATTGATTGGTTTTAGTGGTACTTCTCTTAAAAACACTTCAATTCTAGGTGTAAAATTTGCATAAGTGTCTCTCTACCATATGATCTTCTATTAAGATAACTATAGTGTCACATTCTTCTCTTATAATCTAGTATCATCTTCCAGTTGTTGTCTGGTGAATTTTCTAAAATCTAGGTGATTTAGATTAGTTAGACAGATAGACTATTTTTCTTCTTTTACTACTATTATTTCAGTATCATTAACATTATTTATTTCTTTGAAATCTTCTAGGATATTATTTTCCTTTTCTTTTTCTGCGTTATTACTTTCCATTACTTGTTCTAAATCTTCAAGGAGAATCTGTTCCATTTCGCCCAAACTGATTAATCCTAATTGTTTATGTATATATATTCTTCTAGTTATATTATATTATTATTTATTTCTTCATATATTTTATCTAATTGTTCAACTATTTTTAATATTATTTTATATTTTATTTCACTATATTTTTTTCAGCCATTTTTTTTAATTATTCTAAATTATATTTATTTAATTCCATCTTCTTTTAGATTTTTAGGTGAAACTAACAAAATGGTTCAAGTCAGGGGTGATCATGGATCAGTCTAATTTGTCCAAACCGATCGAATTGACCCAATCGGATTGATTTTGGGCAGATACATATCTTTTGACGGATGGATGTGGATGAAATATTTCAAAATTTGCAAATACAATTCAGATGATAGATCAATCATCTCGCACCCCCATAAACCCGATCCGTCTATAGATGAAGGTAAAAAAAAAAATAAAAAAAAATAAAAAAAAAGTAATAACATAAAGTATAAATAATAAAAAAAAAATTATTGTGAAAAATAGAAAATAACACCTTTAAAATCTATATAATAAAGCAGAACGGATTTTGAAAATGTGTTAGACACAATTGTCCCACTAGGATATTTCAAGGGTCAGGATTCATTTGTGTATTCACATGGATGGCTCAGATAACCCCTTAATTTTATATCAATCCTAAATATATACATTCCCGCCCAAACATTATGCCTCCTCCTTACCCACGTCTCCCCACCCTTCTATCTTTATCTCTCTGATCTCCAGCCAAATCACGTCTCCCCTCCATCCCTCTTTATCTCTCTCTCTCTCTCTGTTCTTCTTCTTCCCGAAACTGCTCTCCTTCAACCACAGATTCGGTTTCGTCTCCATCCCTATATTCGGTTCCGTCTAGCTGTGCTTCAACCGCTCAGGTATGGCAATCTCTATCACAACTGTTCTTCTCACCGTTTAGAATCAGAATCACAATAGTTCTGAATCTTTTTATTTTCATCATTTCAGATTTCTGAGGTTACGATTTCAGAGGTTGCGATTTCATCGCTCAGGTATGGCAATCTGTATCACAACTGTTACTCTTTTTATATGAACATTGTTCATGGTTCTGATCATAGTTCAGAGGTTGCGATTTCATAGTTCTGAGGTTGCGATTTCATAGTTCTGAATCTTTTTATTTTCATCATTTGAAATTTCAAAGGTTAATCCCCAACCCATTTCAGTCCAGGGCTTCACACCCATTAAGTGTTTGTTTGAATGGGTCTGAGAGGGTGTTCCATTTTTTAACTGAATGGATATGGGTTCATTTATTGCTTATTTTTTGCTTGAATCTGAATTTTTTGTGGGTTTGGTTGTAAAGTTGCAATTCATAATATTATGTTGCTTAAATCTGAATTTTTTGTGGGTTTTGTTTGGTTGGGTTGATTTTTAACTGAGTTTTGAATCTGGATATTTTTTATCTGTAATCAGTTGAATTCTATACCCATCCCAATACAATTCTTGCTGGATTTTTCTTTAATTTTGTATCTGTAATCATTACTCATCCTTCAAAATGTTTGGGATTTTTGAAATCACCTGCCAATAATGTTTCTAAGCAAAATTCAGTTGATAGTTCTGATTAATTCTTGCTTCGGTTCTTGCTTTCAGATTTTCTGATTATCTGAAAATCACCAAGTCAACCATTTTTTTTTATGGGTTTGGTTGTAAAGTTGCAATTCATAAAGATTTGTTTAGCCAACTCAAATTACACAGGATACTATGTTAAATAGGGTTTTGGACAAATAACAAGAGAGCTCATATATTTCTTAGTCTGTCTGTTATTGGTACAATTGACGTGGTGTGGACCTTGCCCTCTATTTCTTTCCATAAGGACATCTTATTCTGAAGGTTGAAGAAACCATCAGCGGTAAAACTCAGTACATGTGTGCATGTAGGTGAGTATTTTAATGAAGCAACTATGCTGTTAAATAACCAGCATGACTCTGTGTGCTGCAATTGCTAATCAAAGAACAAACAAATTGTTTTCTCACTTTTGATAATGCCTTCCAGCCCTAAATCTGGATATTACAACATCTCACAGTCAGCTTCCACCAGAAAATAAAGAATCCATAATTTAATAAAATTACAGTCAATTAATATAACAATATCTTATATATTGCTGCACCTCAAGTTTTGGCCTGGGTTTGAAAGGAGAATATAACATGCATAGCAGTGAGAAAATGACTGCTTTAGTATGTGTTACAACTTAATAATGGGAGTCAAATTCATTGTTCAAAACAAGAATAATAGCATATTTCAGTTGATAGTTCTGATTAATTCTTGCTTCGGTTCTTACTTTAAGATTTTCTGATTATCTAAAAATCACCAAGTCGGCCATTTTTTTCTTGAAAGGCTTGCGGAGATACCAGAAAACAGAGTTTCTGCAAAGCATTACGGTTAATTTTCAGGTTAAATTTTTTCAGGTAAAATTCTAATTGCGAACATATAAACTTCTAATACTTCGTTTTCCAAATTTTCCACATTTCGCAGTAGCTTGATTTGTAAGATTGATGATGATTGAGATTGAATCTATTGAGATTGAATCATACAAGGGTCTAATGATTGCAGTTGGCAATGCTACATCTGTTTCAATACTAATGGTAGCAATGTTGAAGTGAAAATCGTAAGCAATCACATGACCGTTAAATGGTTTATCATTCATCACATAAACACCAACCTCAACCTGCAATAATAGTAAGTCATACCCACCCAAAAAAATAATAATAAAAAACATTGAATAGTGTTGTACTATGCCAAGTATTTTATAATTTAAAAACAACAACAACAACAACAACAACAACCACCTTAATGTCATCTGGTATAGCATTTGCATCAATAGGTGATCTTAGGAGAGTTGCAGAAGTTAAAATGGTACTGATGAATGTTCCATTACATCCTCGCATTCTATTATAGTCCCAGAACATGCAAACATCATCTTCCCACCTAGACATTGAAATAAATAAGCAAAGTCTCTACCTCTGTGTATAGCATTTGTATAAACATGAAAGCACATGCAAGAATGAAAACTTTTATTGTCAATTAGTAGAGTGTAGTCTACTAAATATATTTTTTGAAATTGTAGAGTGTAGTCTATTAAATATATTTTTATAATTGCATTTTAATCTTAAATTTAAATAGTGTTGCAATTACAATTATATTATAATCCTAACATTATTTACACCGTGCCTTCAGGCACGGGCATATGCTAGTATGTATACATTGTACCATAGCTTATTATAGACAAATAATATATATTTTTTCAGATTATTAGTTAATAGAGATTGTAAAAATTATAAATTATAATTTAAAAAAATACCTAAAATTTTGTAATGTTTAAGCCGTCGTATCAATCACATCTACCGTCAACTCGCATAATTCAATCAATTCAAAATTGTCAAATCAATACATTCATGAATGAATGTGGATTAATTCTTTTTGATCCATCTAATTTTAAATGAATGAAACATCATCGAATCCAACTTAATCCGCGATCCCATGCAGTTCAGGTGAAACTAATTATAAGGGAGAAGTTTCCTAAAGGGTTTGTGATGTAATTTATTTAACTACGTTGAATTGTGACCCTTGGATTGATTTGGAAGTGGAGGTGGAAGTGTGTGGTGGAAGTGCAGGAGGATGGTTGGACGGAAGAGTGCTTGAGAGGATTCGCACCTCACCGGAACAGTGAGTGCACCGTGCACAGCGGCGCATGTTAGAAGTTTTATACATTCCGCGATCCCTAGCTCTCTTGTCTCTCTTCTCCATCCATCCACCGTCCCCGAAATCCCCAATTACGCCATGATTACACAGGTATTCTATCTTCTGTTTTCCATATACGAACAAAATAAACTCAGTGTGTATGAACGTAATTATGTATATGATTGTTATGTCTCGGAATATGCAGCAAAGAAGCTTATCACAAAGCCCTAGATCCCCATCCGCACAACCCTTTCTATCAATCTCAGTCACTGATCCTGCTAAGATGAGCAATGGCGTACAACCTTATATCTCTTATAAGGTCATCACCAAGGTAATTTTTCCCAAACCCCTATATATATATACACACACATGTAATTTGGTCCATTGAAATTTGTCAATTATAGACCATTTGACAATATGTCTGAATCAATTAAATGATTTAATTTTAATGAACATGTGTATTCCTCAAAGACTGCCTCTATAGTTCTTAAATTTTGTAACTACTCCAGATGACAGCATCAAGTATCAAGTCTCCATAGCTAATGCAATAACTTGCTTCATTTCCCACTCATCGGGCGACTTCTCTATAATTGGGGGTTTGTTTCCCTAAGATGAATTAAGAGTCCGTTTACGCTTTTTCTGTTGTTTGTTGGTTGAACAAAAAATATGTAAAACATATTTTAACGAAAATACTTTTTGTCAGTCCCCAAAACGGAAGTTAATTTTTAAAAAAGTTCACTTCCTGCTCGGCCCTTTCATCACATTAATCTTTCCGAAGATGAAGGCTGGCTCTTCATTGCCTTTCTTCTCAACGGCCAATGCATACATTAGAAAGATATTTTTTACTTCAAAAATAGGAAGATTTTTTTTTTTTGGAGCTTTTTTGATAAATCATTGTTCTAAGAGTTTTATTTCATCCAACTCATATCCATTAGCTCTTATCTGAGATAAGAAGATCAAAATACCTTTTTCATCTATTTATGTTCCATTTAATCCACATTATTTTGTTATATTTCAATAAGTCCTATGGGTGACATAATTATCAAAATACTCATAATGTGAATGTGCTCTTATCTGAGATAAGAAGATCAAAATACCTTTTTTCATCTATTTATGTTCCATTTAGTCCACATTATTTTGTTATATTTCAATAAGTCCTATGGGTGACATAATTATCAAAATACTTGAATGTTCACATCGTCAATGTGAATGTTTCTATTTGAGGTAAGAAGACCAAAATACCCTTTTCATCTACTTATGTTTCATTTAGTCTACATTATTTTTTTATGTTTCAATAAGTCCTATGGGTGGCATGATTACCAAAATACCCCTAATGTGAATGTTCACATCGTCAATGTGAATGTTCCTATCTGAGGTAAGAAGACCAAAATATCCTTTTCATCTTCTTATGTTCCATTTAGTCTACATTATTTTATTATGTTTCAATAAGTTCTATGGGTGACATAATTACCAAAATACCCCTAATGTGAATGTTCACATCGTCAATGTGAATGTTCACACTGTCAATGTAAATGTTCACACCGTCAATGTGAATGTTCCTATTTGAGATAAGAAGACCAAAATACCCTTTTCATCTACTTATGTGCCATTTAGTCCACATTATTTTCTTATGTTTCAATAAGTCCTATAGGTGACATAATTATCAAAATACCCATAATGTGAATGTTCACATCATCAATGTGAATGTTCACACCGTCAATGTGAATGTTCCTATTTGAGGTAAGAAGACCAAAATACCATTTTCATCTACTTATGTTCCATTTAGTCCACATTATTTTCTTATGTTTTAATAAGTCCTATGGGTGACATAATTACCAAAATATCCCTAATGTAAATTTTCACATCCTATGGGTGACATAATTACCAAAATACCCCTAATGTAAATATTCACATCGTCAATGTGAATGTTCACACTCTCAATGTAAATGTTCACACCGTCAATGTGAATGTTCCTATTTGAGGTAAGAAAACCAAAATATCCTTTTCATCTACTTATGTGCCATTTAGTCCACATTATTTTCTTATGTTTCAATAAGTCCTATGGGTGACATAATTACCAAAATACCCCTAATGTGAATGTTCACATCGTCAATGTGAATGTTCACACTGTCAATGTGAATGTTCATATCATCAATGTGTAGGGGTCGGCCCAGCCCGAGCGGGGGCCAACCCATGTAAAGCCTCGTGGGTGCTCCCAAAATTTGGGACGGGCCGGACCAGCCCACCGACAAAAAAATTAGGCCTAGGCCCTAGCCCTGGCACAAAGGTATTTAGGCTTTGGGTGCCTCGGTGGGTCGAGCCAAGGGGCTTGGGCCTAGACTTCGGCTTGGGTCGGGCTTGGGTGAGCCTCGCCATTTTTTTTAATTCTTTTTAATTTTTTCTCCCAAAATTTTATTATATTCCACAAAAAAGACACCAGGCCTCGGGCCGAGCCTTAAATGGGCCTTATGTGGGTCGAGCTTCAAAGTGATGGCCCAGGTCCTAGCCCAAGTTCTCGGGCTAGGCTCGGGCCCGGGCCCAAACGAGCTTGCCCCGGGCCGCAGGCCAATTTTACACTCCTATCAATGTGAATATTAACAAGTCAATGTAAATATTTACATTGTCAACAGGTCGAACCCGCTCCGGGCTGCGGGCCAATTTTACAATCCTATCAATGTTAATGTTAACATGTCAATGTGAATATTCACATTGTAAATGGGCCGGGCCGGGTCGGCGGGCGAGTTTCGGGCCGCCTACGGGTCGCGGGTCAATTTTACACTCCTATCAACGTGAATGTTAATATGTTAATTTGAATATTCACATTGTCAACGGGCCGGGCCCGCCTCGGGCAGTCCATAGGCTGCGGGCGGGTTTCGGGCCGCCCATGAGCCACGGGCCACGGGCCAATTTTACACTTCTATCAATGTGAATGTTAACATGTCAATGTGAATATTCACGTTGTCAACGGACCGGGCCCGCCCTGGCACAGGGGGAGCTTTGGACCGCCCACGGGCCATGGGCCAATTTTACATTCTTACCAATGTGAATGTTAAAATATGAATATTTACAGCCCGCCCCGGGCAACGGGCAGATTTCGGGCCACTCACGGGCCGCGGACCAATTTTACACTCCTATCAATGTGAATATTAGCATGTCAATGTGTATATTCACATTGTAAACGGGCCGGGCCCGCGGGTAGGTTTCGGGCTGCCCACGGGCCAATTTTACACTTCTATCAATGTGAATGTTAGCATGTCAATGTAAATATTCACATTGTAAACGAGCCGGGCCGGGCCCGTGGGCGAGTTTCGGGCCGGCTATGGGCTACGGGTCAATTTTACACTCCTATCAACATGAATGTTAATATGTTAATGTGAATATTCACATTGTCAACGGGCCGGGTCCGCCCCGGGCAGCCCACAGGCCGCGGGCGGGTTTCGAGCCGCCCACGGGCCACGGGTCAATTTTACACTTCTATCAATGTGAATGTTAACATGTCAATGTGAATATTCACATTGTCAACGGATCGGGCCCGCACCGGCTCAGGGGCGAGCTTTGGACCGCCCACGGGTTACGGGCAAATTTTACATTCTTACCAATATGAATGTTAAAATATGAATATTTACAGCCCGCCCTGCCTCGCCCCGGGCAACGGGCGGGCTTCCGCCCACGGGCCGCGGGCCAATTTTACATTCCTATTAATGTGAATGTTAACATGTCAATGTGAATATTCACATTGTAAACGGGCCGGGCCGGGCCGGGCCGGGCCCGCAGGCGGGTTTCAGACCGCCTACGGGTCGCGGGTCAATTTTACACTCCTATCAGCGTGAATGTTAATATGTTAATGTGAATATTCACATTGTCAACGGGCCGGGCCGGGCCCGTCCCGGGCAACCAACGGGCTACGGGTGGGTTTCGGGCCACCCACAGGCCACGGGCCAATTTTACACTTCTATCAATGTGATTGTTAACATGTTAATGTGAATATTCACATTGTCAACGGACCGAGCCCGCCCCGGCCCGGGGGCGATCTTCGGACCGCTCACGGGCCACGGGCTAATTTTACATTTTTACCAATGTGAATATTAAAATATGAATATTTATATCATAAAATTGTTAACTGTTCAAAAAATATTTGTAAGGGTATCAAAATTAATTATAAGAGCATAAGAGTCTAAAAAAAGAGTGTAAATCAAGAAAAATGAATTTATGGAATAAAACTATACATACATGGGACTAAATGGGTTAATAAATTTCTTCATGGACTTTTTGGGTTAAAACACTTCTAAATGAAATTTATCAATAAAAATCCCTTTCTTTTTTTTTTTCAATTTACATGAAAAATATTTTCTGGTGTAAAATATTTTATGTTAAAACAAACGGAGCCTAAATTTCAACTTAGTTTATGCAATGAGCATGACACACATACCTTCTAAAGGCTTGTCCCATGAGGAACCAAGATACTTTTTTCTTTTTCAATGCCTTTCCTTGCCAAAGTGGAAACACTTCCCCTTTCACTTGCCTTCCCATATTTGGTATTCTTGTTGCCCCTTTGGGCTTTGACTGGGCCTTCTTTCCTTCCCCTTTTTATTACATAGTTCAGGAAGTAAAAGTGTCATCGAATTTTGTGGCCTTCTTGATGGTGCCCTCGTCAGTAAAAAACATGTTTAAGAGCTCTGGGATGAATCCTCTAACACAACGTACTTTACAAAAGAATCCAGTGTGATGTAGAACAAGATTTTTATTCGTTTTATATTTTTATTTTTATGATTTTGGAATTAAATTTGACTAGAATTTTGTCATTTGGCCTAAAACACTCTAGAAGATCAAAACAGTATCGCAAGTGGAGCCAAGGATGATGGAAGCCCAACTTGATATTTGAGTATCTATAGTTGGGTCGACCGACGCTCAACTCTCTAGAAAATATTTGGTCGGCCTATCATATGCCCAGTTGACCCGTCGGCATGATTTAGTTTGTATAGCGCAACATTGAGATTTTTAGTTTCCTTTTTACATAGGCTTCTTATTATGTATCAATTTTGACTTTACTATTTTTTTTAGATTGCTTGCTTTGAAAGCATTAGGTCTAGTTTATTATAAATACATGTGTAAGCCTAAGGAAAAGAAGCTTTATTATTCAATCAATAATAAATTCAGAGAGTTTCTCTTATTTTTATTGTGGATTCAAGGTTGTTCTCGCGGATCTCGTGGATTCAAGAAATCACATATAGTAGAACAATATCTAGTCTACTCCCTTTTTCCATTACCACTGTGTCAATAAGAGACTATAGAACCATGGCATTGGATAACATTGCATTGTTGCCAAGTCCTCTCAATCTACTCAATGTAATTGATCATTTCCACTTCATGCTCATAGACATATGATCCCTTTGGCACCGTCCTCAGTCAATGACAATGAACATACATCAACCATTCACATGATTCGATATTTGTCTTTGTCCATGATCATTCATTCATCACTTTCATCAATCAAACTACATGGAACTAAAAATGAATATTAGGTATTTTGTTTGAGATAATTCAATTACAATTGAATTGCATTATCATGATTTTATAGCAGTCTAATTCAAAAATAAGAATGAAAATAGGGCTAAAAATCTAGTCCACTCGAGCACCCTTTTGGGTGGACAACACTGGAGCACCCACTGTTTGAACATTCATCGAACACACTTCGAACATTGAACACTATTTATCCATCTTTCAAACGTTGCAACCACTGGTTCATCTTATGATTTGCAAAATTGCAATGTTCATCCTTTTGCCTGTTCTACTACTTCCATAGCCAAAATTAGATTTCCAGCCCTTGGACAATTTAGGTACGACATTCCATCGAAAAGGGTTTGTAAATTGTTGTTATTATGCAAAACCGTAATCCAACCTCAAAACTAATCATGTTTTAATATCATAAAAACATGCTATAACAATGGCTTTGACACCATTGTTGGGATTCGATTGTCAAAGCGCAGTAGAATTTTATAAAATTTCACTTTCGTAAGATCACTCGTTCTTGTTGATTATCAAATAAAGTGATATTCATATGCTTCAAGGGTACCATTGTGGCTGGTGGTTGTAGGCTTGTGGGTACCATTGTGGCTGTTTCTCCTTTTCCTAATTAGGATTATATTGGAAAGAACCTATAAATCCTCTAAAGACAACCAAGTCCTAATAACTACTAATAGGACCAAGAAGAACTTTTTAATTGTTGGGATGAAATATATACATTTGTTTTTTTGAACAAACACAAGTTATTAATACTTGGAACTGATAAATATGTTTATCCAATTGGTTGATATGTAAAATTTTCCATAAAAAATGGATGACACAATTATTCAAAGTCCAATTATTCGTATCATCTTTAACATATCCATGCTTTTAAATTTCTGAATATTATATATAAAAATTATTTGAAGGACCAACTTTCACTAGCCAGTTCCCACTCTCAGTTGATTAGTGGACAGATGCACTAAAAATGCTCACAAAGTTAAGGTTTGATAAATTTAAAATTTCTTTTAATGATTTTGATTTTGTATTAGTATGGGGAATGGTAAGGTAGTTTATATAAACATGGTAAAGTTGGCAAGTCTACCAAGTTAAATGTATGACTGAAAGTTCAGTTTGCAGGCTGAAAAATGACTTGTGTTGTAATCAAAGGTAATCCCACAATGCTTTAAATTGCTGAAGGTAAAGTATTATGTTTTAACTTACTGAACATGGATATGGTATCTAGTCAAGGTTAGGGGGTTGAGAATATTTGGGATTTGGATTTTATAATTGTGGAAGATTGTATACTTAAATAAAAATGTTGGAAACGTTATATAGAGCAGCGGATTTTGGTGCAAATATTGGAGCTGATATGAGACACTATCCAAGGTTTGGTTGTGTGCGATGATTAAGGGGCTGTTTGAGATGTTTTAAATAAGTGCACTTTTTGACTTTTTGGTAAAAAAAGTAGAGGAAAAAAAATGTATGTTTGGAATAACTTTTTGACTTTTTACAAAAAAATGTGTATTAAAATATTGTATAAAATAGCAAAATTACCATATTACCCCTAAATATATAATTGCCTACTGACAGTGATGGTACCGTCATGCATACAGTTGGCAGCAAGATGTATAGGACCAGATTGCCTACGGTGCTGTTCTGCCCTTGGGGACTCACCACGTGTCCCGTTTTGATAATCGGAACCGTTCAATATGTAGAACTCATCGAGTACTATATATTTGTAGAAAATCACGTTGATCGGATATCGATAGCTATCTGATCGGATTAGTTTTTTGTCAACCGTTATTTTGTGTATCATCAATTTTTTCATATAAAATTGATTTGATCATATAGTTATCGATATTCGATCAACGTAATTTTTTACAAACATATAGTCTTCGACGAGTTCTACACATTGAACGGTTCAGATTATCAAAACAAGACCCGTGATGGGCCCCCACGGGCCGCACAGCATTGTCTTGTGTGTCATGAGAAGTGCATCGGCTGTCTAATGTGTATCAACAGCACTACAGACAGCATATCACTTCAATACACTTTTTGACTTGAACTTTTTTTTGTAAATTTATTTTTTTATATATTTTTTTTCTTGTGAATAGTGATAACTTTTTGACTTTTTTAGTAACTTTTTGACTTTTTGGCTTTTTTCATGGATGCCAAACCAGCCCTAAATATGTTTTTTTGTCGAGGATACACATTATCTGCATGCATTTGATTTGTGGAAAGTAATAATTTATTATGTTAGCCCTAGGCATGCATTTCTTTGTCCAGTTTGTGTTGAGAAATTTTAGCATGCTTGCATTTTGAAAATCTGTTATGTCAACCATCAGTATAAAAGTGTAATTATGTTGTAGCTATTCATTGAATTGTGATCTATTGATAAAATAAGCTTTTCTAGGCACCTGTTTCATCAGACTTAAAGAAGATTTTTTCCTATTAAAAAGGAAGAAATGGTTGAAGAAAAAAAAAAAAGAAAAAGATATCCTATGAAGCATGAACACCTCTATTTAGGTCATGCACATGTGTTGGACATGGACACTCGCTGGACACGTTGTGGACACATATTAAAATTATATTTTTTTATTTACTAAAATAGCATACTAAGGTTGATGAATTTGAGGAAATCAAATATTTGATATAAAATAAATATAACTTATTTAAAAATATGACATAATAAATATATAAAGTTATATGTTTGCATGTGCCCCCAACGTGTCGTGCTTTGCATTTTTTTGAAAATTTGCATGTCCGTGTGTCTGTGTGGTGTCCGTGTCCGTGTCCGTACTTCTTAGTAGATATCTAAGTAATAAATTTGGCAAATGCTAACAAATGTCCTAGCTTGTTAATATTGGAAATGATAAAAAGTATTTTGGAAAAGTTTAAAAAAGTTTTGTGAAATTCATCAAGAGTGTTTTGAATTTAGCGATAAGTGTCTTGGGATCTACATATTTTTGTTTGTCTTTTTCTTGTGTCCCAAGGGCACTTGTTAGGAAGACCCATAAAATTTAGTTTGTGTGATTTAATGGAAAGCTCGACTCCTGGGTCCTATGTTGGTCTCTAGCCATGTAATTTTGATTTTAGGTTGTTTTAGGATGACTTTTATGCTGCATAAGGGTTATGTGGATCTTTTTGGCTTGCCATAGAAAATAGATGATATATTTGAGCATCCATTATGCCTCGTTAACAGTTGATTGAGAATTTATTCTATCCATCATGAGATAATCACACACACACCCACATTTGATTTTATCTTGTGGCTGATATTATCATCATTTTCTTCGATCATTTTTGAGTTTGAGTTATGATTTGTTTTTCTGAACCTAAAATTGCAGAGTCAGTTCATGTTATGTCTGTTGTTCGTTAGTCAATTACTAACAGAACTTGTTGGTGGCAGACAAATTTATCAGAATGTGAAGGGCCAGAGAAGATTGTTATTCGACGTTATAGTGATTTTATTTGGTTACGTGATCATCTTTTTGAGAAGTACAAGGGTATTTTCATTCCTCCACTTCCAGAGAAGAGCACTGTAGGTAACGAGCCCAACACCTTTTTTTTTTTCCATCCTTCTAAATCACGATATCAGCTATTGTGATGGTCTTGATTGCTGTGTAATGGCATTGGATGTTAGTCAGGGTATAATGAGAATAAGTTACTGATGCTATCAATTTATTATTATTATTAGCAAATTCCTTAAAACTTACTAATACGAATATTGTAACCTGATCATGTTTTGGTTATTTAAATTGTTTTTGATCAGTTTTCTGACATCAAAACCAGTGTTCAACTATTGGTATTGGACCTTGTATGGTTTCTATTGGAATTAAGTAGCAAGTGCCTTCAATTTTTACCCATTAAGCTATTTACTAATAAATAAGTACTAGAGTCTATTCAAGCTAAATAGTGGTAACTTAGCAAGTAACTACATATTATTCTTAAGCTTTATATTACTAGATCAGGCAAAATCAATAGTCACTACTAACTAGTTGTTGCGTATTGTCATAGATAATATGTAAAGTTAGTTCAATCATGTAATTTAAGACATGTCATATGGTACTTGACCATGTTTAACTGTTTATCAAGTAAAATCAATATTTATATAGGAAATTATAATATCTTTCCTTTTTATTTAAAGTAGAAAATTCAAATAAAAATTCTCGTAGTTAAATCAGGAAAAAAAGAATATTTAAAATTAAAATTAAGAAGGGAATAAAGGGCATTACAATGAAAGCAATTGTACTTCAAATATTATTAGTCCATAACAAAATACTACTTTTTCGAATATAAAAAATAAAAAAATTGCTTACGCAACACATAATTTATCTACTAAGCTTACAAATGTTTTATATGACTTTGGTATTTTCTAAAGTAAGAACACCAAGAACTTTAGAAGAAAGTGGCAAATTTACCACAGCTCTGGGATTTCCTAGTTTGCCACACCCCATTAGCTTTGATTGAAGTTTTGATCTTACATCTTGTATATCTGATGTTCAAATTGGTAGATTTAGCTTAAGAACTTGTTTTTCCAGCCTTAGAAAATGTTAAATAAGAGAAAGACTCCGTTAATGGAATTTAGAATTTATCGCAACAGGGCAGTGACAGCTGTTATGGTTGGTGACAGCAACATCATGGCTGGTACTCAGCTGTAACAGCCGCTTTGACTGATTTTTCTTCCCACAGACAACTTTGGCTTATAACCATAGTGCAAACCCGAAAATACTTTATGCAGGGACCCATATTTGAAATTATGTTTCCTTAATTTATTTGCGCCCTGTATTCATACTTGTTCTTACCAGTGAAACATATATTGATTTTTTTTAATCAGTTATTAAGGCATCTATTGATGCTGTGCAATTTGGTCTCATGGAATTGTTTGGCTACAGCCTATTTTATTTCTTACCAGTCATAGTGCCTGTTTGGTGCAGCTTAAAAGCTACTTATTTCAGCTTTCAGCTTTTAGCTTAATTTAAGCTATTTTGATATGTTTGGTTTAGCTTATAGCTTATAGCTTATAGCTTTTTGGAAGTCAGAAATCAGCTTATTCTTTGAGTGGGGCAGGAGATGCTTAATTTATAAGTCAGAAATCAGCTTATGTTCATAGTTATAAGCTATAAGCTGTTTAGGCATAAAAGCACTTTCCCACAGCTCTACCAAACAGGGCCATAAAAGGATATCTCACTGTTCTAAGTAACGAACTTCAATAGAATTTCTTAACAAACAGCTGCAAAATCTTAGAAGGCACTTGATGTAGGACAAAGCCCTCAGTTATAGTTTTAGGCTATCCCACTATCAGATTAGCTGGGTATGACTTTAGTTTTTAGGGTTTATGGTTGAGAGGGTAAGATTAAGCTGTTGGATAGATTTTAGTGTGAAATCAAAATCAATAGCTTGCTGGATATTGTGGAAATCAGGGGAAAAGCAATATTTTTTTTAGGGACACAATGGTTGCAGGGCATTAGGATTGAAGGTTTTGGGCTTCGGGACTAAACTAAGGTGAAAGAAGGCTGATTGGTGGCTGTGCGCTGCACACAGCAGTGCTGGGAATTGCAATAGAGTAAAAGAATGGGAAGAAGTAGAAGACGGAGGATAGAAATCTAAGAATCTCCCCAAGTCCTAGGAGTCTCACCATTGAAAAGAGAATAAAATTCTGCAGAGAAATTTTCCCACTAGGAAAAGGACTTGCTAATCCTACTAAATAAATTAAGACAACTAATTCAAAAGGATTTGACACAACTCAAAACCAAGCACCTAATTAACCTGTACATTAAATGCATATAAATTACAAAATAAGGGTTGTTCTCTTGTAAGTCGTATTTCAAGAATCTTGTTGATAATCTAAATGTTTCATTATTCATTCCTCACAAGATGAGGTATGAAGTGGAGAGATGTTTGTCATATGTGAGGATCTTTATTGTTTTCTTTTCTTTTCATTTTGGTGGACTTCTTGTACTGCTCCTTTTGTATTTCGCTTTTTACTATTTGTATTTATTCTCTTTTTGTTTCCTTTTTTTTTAAAAGAAAAAACAAAATCTCCTAATATTCAAATTTACGAAAATACCCCTGATTTTGACAAATATGGATATTACCAAATTAAAGTAGTTAGTTTTGTTTAAACCCTATCATGTGATACAAATGGTAGGATCCACTGGTCCATGGCTGTTTCTTTTTCCTCCTTTTCCAAGCATGAATTTGAGGGCTTGTCCTCATCAGCACTCCATCCTGATTATGTTCATTCAAGGCAGAGTGTGTTTTCATTTCCCACTTTTCTTTTTGACCTCCTTCTCTGGAGTACAATTCCTTCCATTTGCAAGACTGTCAACATTCATTTCGTGGTAGTGAAGATAAACATGTTGATCCAAAATTTGTTTTGCTACTTGAGGAAAATCCTGACTTTGTCAAAACAAAGTGATTTCTAACCAGCCATGCAAATAGATACGTTGAGGTAAATTTTTGGTAATGGTTTTGTGTTATAAATACATCATTTCATCAGTAGTTTAAGCTATCAATTCATAAGTGCACTATTGTTTCATCATTAACGTGGCTGATTGCTTTCATTTAAAGGATTCACACGCATCAACCAATATTTTTTTAGTCATGAAGCTAGTGTTAGAGGATGCACATCTAGGACTCTTACGGCATTGGTCTTCTTTGTTGATGGTTTCTTATCCGGATTTTAGTGTGGAGACATCACCAACTAATGGATTTTCAGATGTGACCTTAACAAATACCTGTATTGATGCTGCAAGTAACTATTTTGATGCGCAACTGTTTGCAGTGATTGTAGCCTATTTCTGGGTTTATGCCTAAGCATAAAATAGGCAATTAATTTCAATCTAAGTTGCACAAAAATTCAGTCTAAAAATTTTGAAATCATATGCGGACTAACTTCAGTCTTTCTTATGCAGAGAAGTTTAGATTCAGTGCTGAATTTATTGAGATGAGGCGTCAAGCATTGGATATATTTGTTAACCGGATAGCTTCACATCATGAACTTCAGCAAAGTGAGGATCTGAGAACATTTTTACAGGCAGATGCGCTGGTGAAGTATCTAATTTTGATGCATATAGGAAGACAGTTCATGTCTGCTACCCTAAAGTTTTTTTGAAATATGAAATTGTCCTGTGGTTTATTTTTGGTAACTAGCTGATATCCCGTGTCCAAATTTTGTTTGGTTTGGTTTTGTTTTGTTTTGTTTTTTTTGTGCCCTATACACATGCCTGTCTATCATCAAGTCGAAAAAGATTTAGGGTTGGTTTGGGGTGTCCTAAAAAAGTGCACTTTTTGTCTTTTTACGAAAAGATGTGCAGAAAAGTAGAGAGGTGATGTGATGGAAAAAAGATAAAAAGATAAAAAGATGGATTATATAGGTTATGCCAAACAAGGCTTTACTCTAGGATGTATAGAGGCTAAAGTAATCCTTTCAGTATGTAACGGTTTTTTCAAAGAAAATATGTTTTCTCAGGTTTTCAGGCTCATAGCAGCATGAATGTACTGTCAGACGCTAATATTTCACATGTGATTGTTAGAGGGCTGATGCATTTGGTATTTCAAACGTGACAATAAGCTTTTCTTCCTGGAGCATGTTGTCGACATTCACGCACTAAATCTATAAAATGTGCTTGTATTTACTAATTTATGGCGGAATATATGTGTTTTATAAGAAGCAATTTATTACTTTTATTGAAAGAGATGGGTATAAAGATGGGGATGATATATCATCAAGAAGGAAAAAGCTAGATATTGTGCATGTATGTGCCAGCCAGAACAACAGTGGAACAGAGCAGAGCAAAAGCCATAATAATGCCTTCTCTAGTCCACTGTGAGGAACAACTGTGTAACTTTGAGTTGAAATCGAGTTGCTGGCTGTTACACAATTCACAATGTTTCAAGAAGCTAAAATATATTGAAACTCTAGATTTGTGGTGGAGGTTGACTAGGCAAACTTTGCATCATGGTGCGGTAATGCTTTAAAATTTCCTGGGAGAAATAATCACCTTTTCGAAGAGATAACTGCTTGTTATCTTTTGCATTCTTTAAGTGCACACTAGGTTTGTAGTATTTCATCGAGGCAACAATTTGTTGCATCTCAACACAAGCCACTTATGGGAAGATCACCAAAAGAAATATAATGGATTTTTGCCTTAGCGAAATTCATGATGAGTTTATTCACCCAAAAAAATTCATAATGGGAGAATTGGTTGAATCAAACCCTTATTGGCTGCGATGCAAACATTGCTGCTGATTCCCTAACACTTTTAGAAAGTGGAATTCTAGTAACTGATATCCTGAAGGATATGATTATGGTACTTTTGATACTTAAAATGTTTATATGCTTGTTTGAAAGAATTTGATATCCTTTCAGATGCTTAACATGTATATGGAGTGATTAGTATAGCCTTCAAAATCTATTGGAGTAATGATATTCAAATAGAAAGTTCATACCGAATTTCCATATAGAATGATGTTGCTTAATGTGGACCTCACTTTAAAAATAAAAATAAAAAAATTCCATAAAGATGAGTGTATTTAAGAAAATGGCATTGCCTCATCCTTCTTGTAGAGTTTTTTGTATGAATTTTATGTATGAATAGAATTTTCCAATCTATTAAGATCATTGCTCTCTCTCTCTCTCTCATCAATCTGATGCCATTTTCTTGCTCCATTTTGCAGACAATGGAGAGGGCCAGATCTCAAGAGACTGGTATTTTCAAGAAGAAGCCAGCTGATTTGATGCAAATATTCAAGGTAACTCGGGGTTGAAAACTAAACAAATCATTGTCTAATGTGCAAATAACTGCTATTTCAACAATTAAGTTATGTAGGGCTAAAATAATTTTGCAAGGCATCACATTCTCTACTGTACAATTTGATGGGACCAAAAACAGATGAAGCTGCAATCAATATGTTTCCCAAAAAATAAAAAAACACTTTATCTGAAGAATCTTAGTTCTGCATTTGATTGGCCCCTTAAAAAATTTAAGATCTGATATACTGAAGAACGTGGCATAGAACAACATTGGATGAAGAGTCTAACTGTTAGGTGGGTCTCCAATTTACTTTGCTTGCTTCATAGTTCAAGTTACCTGGATAATCTAGCTATAGTAACTCAATTATTAAAATATAAAAATTGGACTTATTCAGAATTTCATTCACATTGAACAAGTGTCCCCCTCAATCTTGAACATCGTAGAGGTTGTATTCTGCTATTAGAGAGCTCATTGAGTATCTGAGTCACTCTTCATTTTCCTTGGAAGAGAGTTTGGACTGCATTGCTGCCAATTGCGGTTATGAGGTCCATGCAAACAGGAGTAATGTCTATTTGAGAAGATGAAATGATCTACTGATACTTATTTATAATTTTTGGCAGGATGTACAATCTAAAGTGAGTGACGTTCTTGGAAAGGAAAAACCAGTTGAAGAATCAAATCCCGAATACGAGAAACTGAAACATTACATCTTTGAGCTTGAAGATCACTTAGCTGAAGCTCAGAAACATGCATGTCGTCTGGTAAAGAGGCACAGAGGTATAAAGGACTTCTTTTCTTTCCCTTCAGACTACATGTTTGATCATTTCTTGTTTTTGTAATTATGAAATAATTTTTCTCTTTATTCTTATATTTGAATGAAGTCAAATGCATTCATGATTTTTATTTTTTTATTTTTATTTGTTGTTTCCACAGAATTGGGGCAATCCCTATCAGATTTTGGAAAGGCAGTCAAGCTCCTTGGTGCTTGTGAAGGAAATGCTCTTGGGAAGGTGTTTTCCGAGCTTGGGGCAAAATCAGAGGTTTTGTCAATTAAGCTGCAAAAGGAGGTAAACCTCCTTGATAACTTATCCTTTTTGTTAGAACAGTTTGTTGACCTTTTCTGAAATGGATTCAATTAAGCTGCAACAACTTACCCTTTTTGTTAGAACAGTTTGTTGACCTTTCCTGAAACAGAACTGCCTTGCTGTATCATTTCAGGCCTACCACCTCTTAATGAATTTTGAAGAGCCCTTGAAAGACTATGCTCTTGCTGTGCAATCTATTAAGGTGAGTTTTGTTTCCTCATCCAATTTTTAAACTTCATCATCCTCTGCATTAGGCTATGAAGCATGAGTACTCCGAAAATGTTGTTGTACTCGTACCGGGTACTCGAAATACGTACCGGGTACGTTTTATACGTTATTTGGCAGTTGGATACTCCGTGGGTACGGGATGGATGCATCAGGGTTCACTTGATGTGCCAGAGATGAAAGATGTAATATTCAATAATGAAGTTGATGGAAGTGAAAATTGAAATTTTTAGTTTTCAAGTTTTTCTTAGCTTGCTATTGGAATGAAACTTTGTTTTGTAATTTCTCAAAATAGCTTATGGACTTTGCTTTGGTATTGATATTATTGAACTATGATATCTCTTTTGGTTTTGTAATTTCTCCTTTTATTTGTAGTATTGAACTTTGATTTGTAATTGAATCTTAAACTATAAATTATAAAAATAAAAAATTTATTGACATACCCTAGCCGTATTCGTATCTTATTTTTTTTAGGTCTTGCCATATCGTCATACCCATAATGTACCCTTACCAGGATCCATACCCGCACCCATGCTTCATAGGCACTAGGTCATCATTTCTTTTCTTGTCAGATATAACTTTGTCTTGTTCAGCTAAAAGATTGATGGGTACTTAAACCCTCATAAAGGGACAAATTTGATAATTGTGAATCTTTGGGTAGAATCCCATGTTCAATTTTCAACCTTTCTCTGTATATCACTTATCTTCACAAAAATTAACTCTTTTGCTTATGTATTTTGAAACAGGCCACGGTAGCAGAGAGAGCCAACGCTTTCAGCCAGCAGTACGAATTGGCTGAAACAATCAAGCTCAAGGAGATAGATCTGTATGGTTCTTCTAATCAACTATTTTATTTATTTATTATTTATCTTTTCTCTTTGCCTTGTTTTATGTATACTAGCAGTGGGACCTCTTGCATATGACATTGATCTGCAAACATAAAATCTTGCTCTCAACAGTAAGGTCCTCTTGAATCATGATATAAAATAAAAATCCTGTGTGAGTGATGTCCGAAGTTTTGATAGTTTGCAATCTCTTGTGGACTAAATTTGAGTAGGCAAACTAAAAAGAGTTTTGCTCACATTATGCTTTCAAAATGTTCTATTCTTGCCAATGAGCACCATGGGATTACAATATCTAAAAGAAAGGAGAGGATTAAATAAAAAGAAACAAATAACAAGCACCATACTCGTCTAAAGTTTGTTTTAAAATGTGGGCTTCTTGCTCAGAGCAATATCAGTATGGGGTATCCTGTCCTGTTTTTGGACATGACAATTTTTGTTTTGCTCTCTCTCTCTCTCTGTCTCTCTCTCTCTCTCTCACGCACACACAAATTCTTTCATTTGAAACTATTAAATGCTGTGAGTACAGTTCAGTGAAGACCATAAGCATATTAATACACTACAATTTTCCTTATCACTAATTTTTGGTTTCCAATAAAAAAAAAAGTCATGAAGAACATTCTATGTTCACACATTAACATATTTTAGTGATACATTGAGAGGGAAGTTGAAAATGATCAACCCTCTTTGAGTTCATGGAGCTGATTGTTTATCAATTTTCTATTGAACTCAATGTCCTCAGTTTTCAGCCTTCAGCCCGTGGGGCCGAAAGATATTTGAAGTTTCTAATTTGTGGTTAGTAATTTATATATTTTATTTGTTTGCAGAAACAAATTCAGGCTAACACGATCTGAAAAATTGGCAGAAGCCCAGCATGAATATGAAGTGGTTAGTTTGTATTGCATCCTAAAAATGTAATACCACTGGAATTTTCTTTGTTTGGCTGATATTGGTTTTGTGATACAGATGAGGGAAGATAGTGAGGAAGCAACTAGAAGATTTGAGACAATTGTGCGGCTAATGAATGAAGAATTTGTGTGTTTTCAAGAACAGAAAACATTAGATATGGGGGTTGCTTTTCATGAATTTGCAAAGGGACAAGCCCGTTTGGCAACCGGTATAGCTGATGCATGGCGAAGTCTCCTTCCCAAACTTGAAGCTTGCTCTTCTTAACATAATCCAAAACTTCACCCAGGTAGTTCTCAGCCTGGTTTTAAATACATATATCGGTATTAATGATGCAGTCATCAGCTGATATCACAGTGTCGTACCTGTTTCTTTCTGGGGACCTCCTTACTTTAGGAAGTTTCTTCAGCATGTTGTATGCACGTGGTAATTTTCCTTTTCTTGTCACTTGTACAAAATCCACAGCAAATTGAAAACTTTCTAGATCTTCTGGGACTGTTTTGTAGTAGGACCGTGTACCTTAGATCAGTTTATTTATTTATTTATTTATTTTGGTAAGGTAGTGCTGAAGGGAGATGTTAAAGTTGGCATTTATAGCTGGACATGCTCTTCCTGTTTCTGACTGGTCCTTGAAATTGTATTTTTGATCCATTTATTTGGTTCATGTTGTTAGTTGAAAACTTACTGGTTTTACATGTTAAACGTAATATCCACTTCTGTGATGCCTTTTGTGTATCTGTCATCTCATGATACTATTTAAAACATTTTCTTGTGATATGATGCATAGTAAGTGGAGATTATAAATTGATATGATGACTTTGTTGGTTAATTTGTGACAATCCCATCACGTATTATATTTTTAATCATTTAATTATGCATGCTAGGTGTGAATTTGAATGTTAATTATGTGATTAATGTGTGTTTGACCTTATATTTGTTAACCGTATGAATATTTGTTGAGATTTCTGTTATAATTTGAAATTAAAGGCTTTAATGGCGTGAGAAATCAAAATTGGTTAGTTTATTACAAATGACATAATTTTTAAAGCCTAATAAGTTTTATTAAAATTTGATTCAGATTAAATTAATTAGAATGTGATTAATTAATGCTTAAACCTAATTAACACCATAATCTAATTACATGTATATATATATATGTTAAGTTGAGAGTTTAAGCCCATTCAACACTCAAAAATTTTGAGATTTACATTTTATAGAGAGAGGGCTTGATCTTGGAGGATTTGGCTAGAAGGCTTGTGAATTAGGAAGAACTCAAGATTCTTGCTAAATTTAGCTTGATTGAGGATCTTAGGTATGTATTTGAACCTTAATATGTATATTGAAGTCATCAATATGTATATTCATGAAGAATTACATAATTAAATGCAAGAAATGAGCTTAAGATGAAGAATTTAAGGTCAATTCATATATGCATGCATAATTTTGTTAAATTCCATCATTTTGAGTATGATTTTGTCATCCATGTTAGAGTTGAGAATCATATCATACATGCATTCAAGAATTAAGTTGTTTTGAAGCTAATCTCCATGTTTTGTAAACCTTGGAAAAGACTAGGAAGTTAATTGATATATGCACGGGAGTTTGGGTTCCAATTATGAAGTCTTAAACTTCAATTTCGCAAAATCATGAAGTTTTTGAACAAAGGATTCAGTTTTGGCCACGTAATCATGTTTTGAAAGGGTTTCTATGGTTTTGGATTGCATCATGCATGAATCCATACTTTAAATTGCGTTTTGAAATTCAACTCTGTTCTAGAAATTTTAGAATTCTATCTCACCGCTCGAACGAACAATCTTTTGCTCAAGCGCACATCTCATGCATCTAGTAATTTCGTAGAATTTTATTGTTGGCTCGAGCGACCAAGTTGACGCTCAAGCAATCTCAATTCATTTTGTGCCTTGGCTCAAGCGATCATCGATCCTAGATTCGGACCATTCAGTACTTTTGTAGACCAAGTGGCCCGCTTAAGCGACCAATGTTGCGCTCAAGCGAAGTGTCCTGTTTCAGCATACTTTGAAAAGTCGTGTTTTATCTATTTTGACATTCTCATCCCTTTCTAAACATTCTTAGGCATGAATGGAGTCTCCTAAATGAATCTTTGAGTTAGAATGAGACTTAGAAGAATTAAATAAGTTAAAGAACAATCCGATTAAGAAAAGGAATTCAATATGTGTATGTTCATGAATTGTGTAGGATCATCCACAAGGACGTGTCAACAACTGAATCATTATGAGTAATATCTTAGTAAAGATATTTTCTTATTACTCTATTTTCTAAATGTCTTAATGTAGTAAGTTTTCCAAACTTATGATTTTGCAAGTGTAAATGAGGTTCTATCTGTTTGATCAATATGATATTTGTGAATGTGATCGATATGACACGAATGTGTATGATGGACCCAAGGTTGTCCTGTATAACTGAATTGGACCCAAGGTCGTTCCATATATCTGGTAAGATGGACCTAAGGTCGTTCTGATTATCTGACTCTGTATTTCTGATAAATCTGAATATCTGTTATGTGTTGACCTATTGGTCATTATACAACTGTAATGTATTAGACCCGAGGTAGTAATGCCTGAGGTCGTTCCGATAAGTATGATCTGTTCTGCTTTGTATCTCTGTATTTGTTGGACGTGATGTCGTTTTGCTATGACACGAAATTATTACGATGAGTATGATTTTACTTAAACGTAAGAACTCATTTATATTACATTTTTACTTTGATGGTATTCATTAGGCTCTCGCTCACTCCGTATTTATATGTATGTAGGTGAGCAGCGGGATGTCCAGCCCTAGTGAACTTGTGAAAGGATTATCAAGTTTTGTGGAGTCAGCCAAGGATGTCTCACGCACGAGACTTTTGTTGTTTGTTTTGTTTCAAGAGTTTTTCTTTTATTTCAAGTGGCATCTCAAGGATCTTTCAAGAGCTTGTTTGGATTAAAGAAGTATTCTAAAATCACTCCCCATAGTTAGAAAATTTGAATGAAAATTAACTCCATAATTCACCACTTGAATTTTGGTTGAAGATGGTAAATATTTTTGGTTGAAAATTTTATTAAATATTCTATTCAACTTTTTCTAAGAAAAATAAAAGTATATCTTACCATTTTTTTCAAGAGCAGATGTGTCTATTCTTCATATCTTCTTGAACGGATGTGACTATTTTAAACAGTCACTAATTTATCTATAAATTATTTCTCTCATTTTTGCATTTGATTCAATTCATTTTCATCTCTCAGCATCATACATAGAGTTGTAGTTTGAGAGTACAAGCAACGATGGTTCGTCTCGAAGTGATGTGTCTATTTGTAGTTAATCGTTGATCTTGAAAAATAAACGTCCATCGTTCTCATAATTTTGTAGTAAGGGACAAATTTTGTTTTAGAAAAGTAGTATCCAATACAAGACTTGATTTAAATCTATATCTATGATCTACATTCGGTAAGTTTGCATTTAAATTTTAGTATTGTTTATTTTCAACTAAATAAATATCATTTGTATTTTTTATTTGGTTTTCTCGAAAATAATTTTGGTATATTTAAGTTAAATTTTCTATATAATTTGGTATTGTTTTTCTATAAATTCAATGATAAGAATAAGGGAGCTAGGCACAGTGTGAAAACGCCTCGAGAATATGCATAGGTGTGTAACGAACCTAACCGCGAGCCCAAAAGGCCCAACGAATCACGTGAAAGTCTCGTTTGTTTTGAGATATAAAAGATGGAATGAGATTAAGATGGGGTTGGAGTTATTTAGTATTGTGTTTGTTTGTAGAGTTGGGGAAGAGATTAGGATGGATGAGGGGATTAAGGGTTGGTTTGACAAGTTTCAAAAAAGTTAAAATATCAAAAAATTAGTATCCTATTTAAGTCACATCATCTTATTTAAGTTATATCACCTCTCTAACACATCACTTCAACCCAACCCAAATTCAACCCATATTTCATAAAAAGTCAAAAAATGAATTTATTTAGATCATCCCAAACAACCCCCAAGATGGAGGTTGGAAGGGGAATTGGGATGGAAGAGGTAGAGGCGGTATTAGAAAAATAATGAGAGGCTTAGAATTTTTTTTTTATTTTTTACATATTGGGAATTTTTTTTAAACATTAATGTTTAATTTTTTATATTTTTTTATTTGTTTTATTATTTTATATAAAAATAATTAACAATTCCTACACTAACAAATATTATCAAAACAAACACAATTTTACTTAATCCCCTCACTATCAATCTCCTCACTACGAATTCTACCTCTAAAAATAAACGAGGCCTTAGAGTGTGTCAAGATCACAAAAGCTATTTTTTAAGACAACTCGTCTTGTTTCCTGAAAAAATAATAATAATAATAATCACTTTACTTAGCTTTGTTTGGGATGTGATTAAAATTAGCTAAAAAATCAACAATCACTACAAAATGTCAACACATTTTGTCTATTTTTTTACATACCTTTTCATAAAAAATTAAAAAATCACCCAAAAAAAAATATTATTTCTCAAATCAACCTTTAATAAGTATGGAATTTACCATCGGCAATGCAGCAGACCGGAGCCATGTTCGTTATTCCACAATCTCTTGGAAAATTTGATGATGTTTTTATGAGATGGGAGTCAATCACAAGGTCCTATGTTGCTACTCAAGGATTTACAGATGTCCGGGATAAACTCTTGTTTATGGAAAATCTCCTCGGAGAAACGGAGAAACTAATCTGGACACAATGGCGAATGAGGTATACAGATGAATATGCTAACCTCGTGGCCATAGGAGATGGAAATGAAGGGACCTGTGTCTTTTACGTCAAATTTTAACTTCAAGGATTATACTGCCTTCAGAAATTCAAATATTAAAATCATGCTATATCCTTTTATAATTTTGGTGAGTTTAATAGCCTTTGCCTTGGTTAATATACGATTACCTTTGCACTGGTAAAATATTAAGAAACTGGATTATCCGACCACCAACAAGAAGGATTCATCCACAACAACCTTTTCAAAGATAATTTGAGCAATTCTGTCACCGGCGCGAACTTCAAACTCCTCCTGATTATGGTTGAATAGGAGGACCTTAATTTCGACAGAGTGGCTTCTTTTTGTCTTTCTGCTTTCTGGATTGTTGAGGAGGATATGATGATTCAGCATCAGTGTCCGTTTCTGGTGTAGGCAACATCCTCTGCCTATGTCGTTGTTGTGGTGGATGTAGTTCAGAGATCCATTGCGGTTGTGGTCGTGGCTTCCATTTTCGTCGGTCTGAATACACCGCCGACGGTCTTGAATTTAGTCTTCTTTCACCACCTTCCGTTCGTCGTTGGAGCTCTGCTTGTCGTGTGCACATTTCATCCAGAGTTTCCTTGAAGACATTTGGTTGTTCTTCAAAGAAAAACAATGTTTCCTGTTGATCAACACTTGGAATAACAGGATAGTCAGTGGAGTCTTCAGGATTAGGGATGTATGCTGGATTATAACCCAGAGGATGATCATCATCATCTTCTTCTGATTCCCATCCAGTTGCAATTATATGCTGTCGATCGTTGGTAAAGCTGCTTTTTCCAGAGTAGTGGCTAGGAGGATTATACTTGACTAGATAATCATATTTACCACTAGGCTGGCCAAGTGTATCCCATATATCAGTTCCTTTGCAATCCGGCAGCTGAGTTGGGTATTCTTCCAAGTATAACAAAGTCTCTTGACGATGCTGAGATTCATTTTGGATCGATTGCGTATCATCATCAGTTGGCATGACTTCATTATCATGAGAATCATATTGAACTGGATCTGCTTGTTGAGCGGCAACATAATCTCCAAATCGCAGGCTAAAATTTCCTCTTGGGATATTTCTAGAGACAGCAGTTGTTGGCCCTATAAGAAGAAAAGAAAAAAAATTATTATGCTAAATATGATGTCTATTGGAAACTTAGGATACAGAATACAAGTGAAGATCTTTTTTTTTTTTTTTTTTTTTTTTTTTTAATATCTCCAACATAATTTCAAGAAAGTGTAAGATAATATCATATATAAATACCCAACATTACAAATAGTTCAGCCACCTAATAAGGCTAGTTTTGCCAATACATGAGCTACCTTGACATCAGCTCTTGGAACCTTAGTAATACATATATGATCTAACATATTACAAAAATAACATATATTCTGCATAAGATTTGTCAAATCCCATCCTATCTTACGCCTATTTTTCAACCATTGAACTAACAGTAACGAGTGTCTGCGTATTATAACGACTTTCACATCATGTTGCACACACCACTTGGCTACTTCAAAGAAGATCCTCTGTCGTGCTAATATGTTTTTATTCAATCTGTAATTCTTTTCTTGTAAGTGCGCCACGGAAAAGTAAAATGAATGAGGGCTAAGATGATGTTTTGTCAAAATGACGTCATTTTGATTTTGATTTTGATTTTTTTATTCTTTTTTTTTCTTGGGTTAATTACACTTTTACTTTCTAAACTATCACCATTTGTTTATGTAGCCCCTAAACTATTGATTGTCTTCTTGGTTCCTAAACTTTCACAAATTGGTGATGTTTAGTCCAAATGGTGGATGGCGTCTAAATGGTTAACGGAAAAACCACTCGCGTGCACTGTATGTGTAATAACCCACATTCATGTCTTAGTCATGTTCATGTTCATGTGCATTTGCATTTTCATGATTTTATCTTGTGAAGCTTGCATTTGTAGACTTAGACTTGTTTTGCCTAGGTAAAGGTTCTTGTCTTGTCTTGTCTTGATGCTATCATGTTTTGCCTAAGTGTTGTATATCTGCTTTGTTCCTTCTTTGCTGTCTCAAGCCTAGGTCATGTTAAGCCTAGGTCATGCCAAGCTTAGGTCATATTAAGCCTAGGTCATGCCAAGCTTAGGTCATGTTAAGCCTAGGTCATGCCCAAGCCTAGGCCATGTTAAGCCTAGGTCATGCCAAGCCTAGGTCATGTATCCTTGCTACCTCAAGCCTAGGTCACACCATTGAGCGCCAACACCTAGGACCATATTGGAACCACTTTGGTTGACCTCCACCTTCACCCTGGCATATTGGCCGAGATGTCATCATCTAGGCCGAGGTGTGCATCACCTAGGCCGAGATGCTATCATCTAGGCGTCGTAGATCTTTGATCCTTGCACCTAGTAATCTTGTTCCTGGACTGGTATGACCAATACCGAGGTATGGCACATCTAGGCCGAGGTGTGGCATAGCTAGGTCAAGTGTGATCCTTCCTAGTCGAGATCATTGAAACCTTCTTGCCGAAACCTATGTCCTAATCCGAGATCATTACCTTGTTAGAGTGCCCTTGTCACCTTGCTTGTTATATACACTTTGTCATACTCTTGTCTTGTCATTCTGTCACCTTTTTTAGGAGAGCCAACCGGTCGTTGCCACGTATCCCAGCAGAGGGTTAAGTCAGCCGGCAGAGAGAGAAAACATATCATTTGTCATATCTTTTTTCTAAGAAGAGAGAGAAGCTCTAGGAAGAGGAAGAGAAGTTCTTAGAGAGAGAACTAGATTTTCAAGCTTGATCTTCGCACCTTGAGCCGTTAGATCCGTGTTTTGCGGTTAAATTCTTGATCTACTTTTGTTATTCTTTATGTTGATCCGATCACATTGCATGATCTACTATGATTCATGAGCCATGCATTGATTTAAAGCTTGTTTTAGAAAGAGAAAATGATGTTCTTATGTTCTTGAAAGAAAATCATGTTTTGATCCGAAAGTTTGTGTCAAGATCCATATTTTTGTGTTTGTTTTCATAAGATCTTCAAGTATAGGTACCCAGGTCCATGTTTTCGAACTCATCTCATGAAATCTCAGACTTTTAATAAATAAGTTATGATTTTAGCATTCATGTTCTTCATGTTCTTCAAGGGAGGAAACCCAGATTTCCAGACTTCACTATTTCTCTAGGTGTGGTCACCAAGACCACTCTTGCCTAGATCTCACACCTAGGCCAAGCATCGTATCTCACCTTGGCCTACCTTGCATGATCACTTGCACCATTA